ATTTATGAATGTCTTTAATTTTAGTGAAAAAAATTATAGAAAACAGGTGGTAAGATAGAATGATGATACTTATACATAAAGACTGATATGTAGAGGAATGTGATATCATTTAGTTTGATGATTTCTAATCTTTTAAATAGGGGACTGGATTTTTCATCAAAACTAGAGAATGTTATAACCTGCGTTACTTTCTTTTGTAATTTGAATAATGGTCAAGAGTTGTGGGGTAGGTCCTACCCCATACCATATATTAAAAATGGGTATATCAAGCTATAATATAGTTTTTTCCTTTTTTTAGATCAATAAAATATCTGATTTTAGATAAGATACCACAGTTTCTTTTAATCTTTTTCAAAATATAATTTATTTGGAGTTTCCATGACAGATTTGAATCTATCAAACTACCAAGATATTTGATATACTTTTCCTGTTTAAGCTGTTCCTTTGGTCAATATTCAGTACTAGATTAAATGGGATTTTCCTTTGAGTAGGGTGAAAGAGTACATAGTTTGACTTTTCTATGTTTAGTGTGAGTTTATTAGCATATAACCATGCATAAATGTTGTCAAGCTTGGCATTTGATATTAGTTTTTAGAGAAGTTAAGTTTTGGCTTCAGCCCCCCTTTGCCCCTTCTGGATCCGCTCTTGATATAGTCCTTGAATTTGTTATGACCAGGGATATATGGGATACAAAGCCCTACAAGTAACAAACAAAACCGTGTCAAGTAGGAACTAAATGTCATTATTGACCAAAAACTAAAATATCTTTAGAGCTGTAGAAAGTTTTAGCCTTGACCATTAATTATTTTAAAGTCTTGCTCTGCATCAGTAACTAAAGGATACACTGAGTTGTCATTTAATTGTGTTTCAGGATATGTACGAATTATTCTGGCTGGAATATCATTCTGTTACATGACATCTGATCCAGCAACAGCATCAGTTGCATATGTTATCAGTCAGATAGTACTGGATTGGATTGATGGAGACGCAGCAAGATATTTTAACCAATGTGAGAACTATATAAGCACAATAATCACATGTTTGTTTGTTCTTTTGTTTTCTTTTTATTTGATTTCCTTCCTCCTCTCCTTATTTATCCATCCACCTATCCATCAATCCCATCCAACCCATCCATCCATCCATCCATCCATCCATCCATCCATCCATCCATCCATCCATCCATCAATCCATC